GTGTAATGAAATGATTTGTGATGAATTGAAATGAAAGAATGTGGGAAGGAATATTTTAGAGGTTTCTATGGGAATGGTAAAAATATTTCAAAAAGCAGAATTGAAATGGATAGTAGTGAAAAAACGTTGAAAAGTAAAAGGGCATTTCGAAAAAGAGAATTGAAATGAATATTATGTTAATATTGAATAAAAAAGGTTGAAAAGTAAATCATAAATACTGACAAATTTCAAAAAATGTTAAAATACAATTAGGGTTTGCTAATGGAGTCACTGTGATTTATTTAATATGTGTATAAAGAATACATCTTTGCCTGAGGATTGGAGAATGCAGTTGATTTCCTTCACAGAGGAGAAAGTAGTAATAGCAAGTGAGAATGCAAGAAGTACATGGAGTTATTTCCTTAAGTATTCATGGGAAGATATTGGGATGTATGGTGAAACTTGTGGCAGACCAGAATTTTTTCTTTATTGCTTCGTTGACAATTTATATCTGTAAGAAAGTTTACTGTATATAGACTGGCACAGTAAAAGTGTATAATAAAACAAGTAGGTTTGAATTTTGCAAGAATGTGGTTTAAAGTGCTGAATGTGAAGTAAATTGTATGTGAAAGAAGTGAATAATATGTGATATGAAAAGAGTTAAATGTTTGGCAAACGGTTCAACATTATGCAGGGAATAAAAGAAGTATGTGTAGAGTATTCTCTTGATTGTGTAATAAAAGTATGAATAAATGTGTAAAAAAATTAACTGGTTTTGGCAGAAGTGTTTTGAGAACTGAGTGCCTTCGGACTTTTATTGATGAATGAAAATTGTTTGCAACTAATATTAGATTGTATGATGAAAAGTACAATTCTGAAAAAAGAAAGATCAAGAATTGGTTAGCACCAGGTGAAGACGAATTACATGATTTTGGCTTGAAACAATTGAGTTATCTGCATTCATTCATTGCCAAGCAGTTTCACAACATATTGCAAGGAACTGAAATGGAAGATTGGTTAACATGTGGCAAAATCTATCTGAAAATGAAAGATCTAACCAAAAGGGCAGCCCCAGGCAACTGCAGGTCCTTGGGAAAAATTGAATAGCTGGACAAAAATGCCATGTACAGTCTAATATCTAGCTGACTGTGCAACCAATAACAATAACAGTATTTTTATTTTACAATTCAATCCTTTCCTCTATAAGACAGAATCATCTAAGCATGCCTTATGGTACTAATCCTATTCTGTATATTGTCCACATTCCTTCTTCCATCATTTACCCTTGACCTTTTCTTTTGTTGTTTTACCAAACATATTTCTAAACTATGTCTTAGCCATGAAAGCCAGCTGGGTGACTTTGGGTAGTTACTCTCTCTCAGGCAAACCCACCTCACAGGGTTGGTGTTGTGGGGAAAACAGGAGAAAGAAGGTGTGTTGGATAAGTTCACCACCTTGAGTTATTTGTAAAAATAATAAAGGTGGGGTACAAACAAATACTAAATAAAGTAGACAGAAACATGCTCCTATATGCAATTATTTTTGCTTCTTTGATTAGTCATTCATACAAATGAATGCATTCTACCAACTTAATTGGGCTTCTTAGTTTTCTCCATCTTTTTGTCCAACTTTAGTCAACATTCTACCAAAATACACTAATTCATTGGCTTGCTTTAATTTTTGCCCTTTACATATAATTTTCATTCATTCACTCAATTTTCATTACCAAACACAACTACTTTGAATCATTTGTTCTCCACCAATTCTGATGTTATTACAAGTTTTTTCATTTCAACTTTATTTTTTCCTCTCTTTTTTGCCTCTTTTATCCAAGCTGCATTCTTATTTGATTGTTAGATAGCTGTGCCCAGAACTATATTGTTTCTTTGTCAGGTGTTTGGCTGTTTCATTGCAGTCTCTCCATTGATGGATTGGTAGAAACATTTCTGATTTGACTGAATTTTTTTGGCTGTGGCTGTTATTTTCTGTTTTATTATTTTCAGTGCTTCTTTGGTTTTCCTTATCTCTAGGTGATATTTTATCAACAGGCATTCTTTGATATTCTTGTTCTTCAAGTTCTTTTCTTTCCTCTTTTCTAATATTTGATTGCATCTGACCCTAGCCTGCTGATCTTATTTTAAAATCTGACCTTCCAAGTTGAAAATGGGTTATTTTGCTTTTTTTTTTCTTGTTTGTTGATTTTACATCTAAGCCTTCAGTTATAACTGCAACTGTGCTGTACACCAGTTGGTATATTTCTTGCAATGAGCTGGTGCTTATATTCAATATTTCAGTATTTGGCATCTTTTAATACTTGTGCTACTATTAAGGGTTTTTTGTGACAAGCTTCAAAGCAGGCAACTTTATTCTGTCAGTTTTGTGTATTCCATAGGGTCAGTTCTGCTTTTTTCAGATAGGGGACTTTGTTCTTTCTGAGGAGAGAGTAGATGATCTCTGTGGGAATGAGAATGGCTCAATAGCAATGCTGGCTTTCTCTGCTGAGGACAGATCTACATTAATCTGCTATCTCCTCTGTTCTGTTACTTCTGATTCTGAATGTTACTCTTTCCAGAATGGGTACATTATTTTCCGATCTCCTTTTCTCATTGGACCTTATCAAGTCTTTGTATATTTTGAACAAACAGTGCAGTTTTTCTTAACAGATAATCAGAGTTGGAAGGGACCTTGTGGGTCATCTAGTCCAACCCCCAATCAAGCAGGAAACCCTACACCATTTCTGACAAATAGCAGCCCAATCTCTTCTTGAAAGTCTCAAGCAATGATGCTCCCACAACTTCTGAGGGCAAGCTGTTCCATTGGTTGATTGTTCTCACTGTCAGAAAGTTTCTCCTTATTTCCAGGTTAAATCTCTCCTTGTTCAGTTTCCATCCATTATTCCTTGTCTGGCCTACAGGTGCTTTAGAAAATAGCTTGACCCCTTCCTCCCTGTGGCAGTCCCTCAAATATTGGAAGACTGCTATTCTTCTAGTAGTCCAGGAGCTGTTGGCTCTATTTGCTTAAGCAGTGCTCTGAATCCTGTAGTCCACTTGTCATCAGACATACAGGACCTCCAAAATCTAGTATATAGTCCGTGTTGATCCAGGCGTTGACCAATCTTCTATAGGTTTCTATAAATTACATCGTACCACATTATGGAAGACATTGTCTCTTTCTGACTTGTCCAATGAGACCCGTCCATTGTGGTCATACCTCTGACACAGCTCTCATCTTTTTCAGACCAAGCAAACCTACAACTGTGTCATGGTAGTGCTTCGTTGGTGGCTGACTTATTGTTGTTTTAAAACATGTACGCCACTTGACTTTCAACAATTCTAAGTGACTTATAACAATCAGAGAATGTGCTATAAAATGTTTCTCTTTTAACTTCTGCTTTGCCTAATGTTATTATGCATTAACATAATGGGAAAATATGTAAATATATGTCACTAAATTAAAAAGGTAAAGATGATGGACAAATTTCAAGATCTATTAGAATTAAAAATACAAAATAATAGCAGCTACAATATATCTTGATTATAATCTGTCCGTTTTATAAAAGGCCTAATTTTGATCCAGGTATCTATGACTTTTGACTAGCATCATTTATTAAGTGACTGAAAAGAAGTTAAACAATAGCAGTCAATAATTTTCCTCAATAACTTTATAGATAACATTCTTTCAGTTACTTAATAAACATTTTGACATGTTTTCACAAAATTATTAATATTTATTATTATAACAGTGTAAAAAAAATATCAAAAGATTTTTTTGACCTGAAAAAAATACCAGTGCATGCTCTGTTAAGTTGGTCTGTATGGCCTTCTAAATTGGGCATTAATTCTGAAAATAGGATTAAATGGCGTTGCCTGGTTTCTGTAAGACTTGTAGACCAGAAATATTTTAAGTCTGCTTTACATTACATTTGCCACAAGTACTAATAAAAAGAACTCCTCAGGTAAAATGAGATAATTTAAAAAATGTCTTAAAACAACTAATTTAAGCCATTCTTTGGGCTTCTGTTACTCCTGCATGAAATCAAATCCTGCAGAAAACAACACAGTGTTTATGTAGGTCTTTTCACTTTCATCAATGGCCAAGAAATATTTAGCCATGGCAGGCTGTAGTAATCATAAGATTTACAATTAGCAGAATACGTGTGGATCACTCGGTGGAGGGAACCTGATGTTGCATCTATATGGTAAATGTTATATGCATATAGATGCAACAACCACAAGAAGTAATTTCATAAAAAATGTACTGCAGAACATGAATCTCAGTCTACCAGTTCATTTAATCTAAATATTTATCTTTCTCAAGAACTACTGTTTTACATTTTAAAGCAATTTTATTTCCTCTATAAATGTGTAAATCTAATTATAACAAAGGCCAATGTGGTGTATTTTTTAACCTAATCAATATACAGCTAGTCAGAGGCTGGTAAAAATCTTGTGGATTTACATGACAATAACTTATGAGAGTTGTACCATTCTCCAAAGATTCCTAAATAATACTGATAAATACTTTGTGTAGTCCTTTTTAACATAATTACAATATGGCGGGCAGTTTGAAATAGGCAAATGTTAAAGTTGTCAAGTTATGTTGCAACAAGAATCCTGTTTATTACTGACTAAAATTCATTTTCATTGAATGGTCTCCCCATATTAAAAGGGGGGGGGGGGAATAAAAAGCATTGTTTCTCTATACTTGCATATTTAACGTGAATGCTGTTATTAAGGGAAGCTTGTGCTGATAGGAACAATATTCTACTCTGCAAGCATCGACAGTTTTGTTAAATGGCAGAAAGCAGCCTATACTAAGCATTTACTCATTTGCCACCGCTAGTTTTAGGATTCAATTGACAGAACAATCAGTCACTGTGTAATATTCTACGTGCCCTTTGAAGTTAAAATGTGCTGTTAGAATTGTTCAGAGTCAGGTGGCTTTCAGATGTTCATTCAAAGGTGTTGCTATTTCAACATTTTAAATGTTTTTCTGTTTTCTTTTTTCTTTTCCTTTAACAGTCCTGGTACCTGGGCTAGCTTGGTCCCCTTTCAAGTATCAAACAGGACATCAATTCTGCCCACAAATGTCCAAAATTATGGTTTGAACATAATTGGAGAGCCTTTTCTTCAAGCAGAAACAAGCAACTGAGGGAGATTGAAACTGAACAAATACTATAAAAGAAAGGAAGATGGGACAAAAAGCAAAGAAGAAACTGAAGAAAGAAGAAACATAAACCAGCAATTGCAGCACTTACAATCATTAATTCCCTTAAGATTGAAACTGTAATGGCAAAGCAAGAGCAACCACAAAAAGCGGGATTGGGGGAGAGGATCGATGATATTTCACTGATGCGTAGAAAGATGCTCCTCCTGAGTAGCCTTTGTTCTATGAAATCCACTGGGAAATAGATGTTCTGTCTCTGACAATATATTTTAACTGACTTTCTAGATGCCTTAATATTTGCATGATAAGCTAGTTTATTGGTTTAGTATTCTTGTTGTTTACGCAATACGCATGGGATCACTATTCCTAGTTAGCTCTCAAAACAAAGGCTAGGAGGCATCCACAGAACTGCAGGAGAAGGAAGGCCGGAAGCCATTTTTTTCCTCAGCAATCTGGTTTCTAAAAGGTTTTTCAAAGAAAAAGAAACAAATTCAGCTTTTAGTTGTCCACCCCAATTTATTTAACTTAGGTCCTTAACCCAGTCTTTTCTTAGTGTGTTATCCAGTTTAAATTTTTCAAAAGTCATTTAAATAAGCAGGCATTCTATAAAATCAATGCCTTACTTTGGGTAAAAGAAAGTGTTATCTTCTCAAATGACAGTTTAAAAAACCTGAGAAAGACACTAAAATAATTCCCCATGCTAATGAAAACATTAGAGGCAAGTGCAATTTAAAACCTGTATCTAAAGGGGATAATTGTTATAAGTCCTTTAGCCCTTGGACTCTAAATTGAGGGGATTAAAAGACAAGATAAGTTTCAAAAGTATTTCGAACAAATGTATTTTCCCCCCACTTTTGAAAGGGAGGGGTCATTAAAAGGCATTAACTAAATCAAGACAAATCATTTACTTGAGAAAAGGAAATTAATTGAAACACAGCACTTAACGTTGATTTAGCTTCTGCCTCCTTTGAGGTATCTTATTTATTTAAAGTTACTGGTTGGATCAAGAACCCATAAATAATGGAAAAGGTTCTCTAGAACCTTCATGACAGAGACTGAGAGGTAAATCCATGTCACAGGGGCATAGCTTCTGGTTTACAAATGGGAATGATGGGTTATGGGAAGGGGATGAAATATATTTTTTAAAAATGCACTCTTTAAAAAGACTAATGACAGGGTGCTGAAAACTTGCATGGTGCTCTCAGAAATTAGCCTTGTTTGACAGATTTCTCATATACACAATATTGTGCATGGACGGATACGTTTTGCCTCTACGTCTCTATAAAAGAATAATTAAAACTACTCTATCCAGTAATCCTAATTTGCACGAAGTTATAATGTCCACATAACGTGCCTTGCCTTGAAATCTAAAAAGTGACATCACTACACTTGTTTTGCTGCATTTATTATCATTTTAAATCTGTACCATTTTTATGACAAAATATTTTGTACTCCAGATGGGAAAACAACAACAAAAGTGACATCATGGATTTTTTAAGCAGTTATAACTTTATCTCACATTTATAAAGCATATCATGGCTGTGTATAGTTGCCGCTTAAAAATTGTAATCGACCAGCAATATTTTCAGTATTTTGGTGTTTTTTCTATTAATCTTTCATGTTTTTTCATCTTCCAATTAATATTGGGGGGAGGGGATTCAAATTTATACAACTTATGCAATACCAAGTTTTGCCTATGTAGGTAGTGCTTTTAGCTGTATTGGTTATTATAGGTAAGTACACAGATTTAAAAGACAAAAGATTAATGTATGCTTTTTTGTTCGTTCGTTTGTTTGTTTGTTTGTTTTAATTGACCAAAGTGGGTACTGCTATTTTTGCAGTGTGATGAGGTCCTTTTTGTGTACTAAGAGATGGACAGGGGATTTTTTTTTTTTAAAAACTACGTACATATATCTATATATTCTGGGATGGGTGGGGGAGGATTTTTAACACTTGACAGTGTAGCTGTGAAGGCTGGGTGAAGGCTACAAAGCAACTCTTCTTCCTACTGTGATTTAAAAACAAAAAAAAATGGTGTTTTCTTTTAAACTTTCCACCTGGGGTGCAAGCTGAAATCATTTCTGGTTTGAAAACAGGCATAGTGATAATGAAAAATAAATAATAATGGATTTTATCGGAGGCAGACCTGATTTGAGAAAAAAAAAATCTTTTTTTTTTTTTAAAAAAGAAAGTCTCAAGACCCACAGAGATCAAAAACCCTGTAAAATTTTGCAAGTTATACATCCGTCATATAAAAGCCTAGTTTGAGATTTTAAAAATCACATAGCATATACTGCCAAAACAGTGCACGCTATGAGACAAAAGATCTTCTAAAGATGCTAACTGTATACTAAGTATTAAATTGGATTCAGTATTTGTTTTCTGTGAGTGGAAGCATTTCCAGTGGGAATTCCATGATATCTTCTCCTTTGTCCTTTTACACGAGATTCTGATTTCCTTTTCAGAATTCCCCAGCATCACTGATTTCTGTTGTCAGAGGTCATGTAGGAATGAAGGACTGGCTCAGTCAGTGACTAATCAGTCAGTGGATTGTTTTGCTGGATCAGATCCGTGCCGTAACCTTTCTCCCATATAGATCTAGGCTACTATATTTCAGTACAAATCGCCAAGCACAAAAATGCACACATACAATGTGTTTGTGCACAACCTGATTAGATACTAAAATTGGTGATACAGAAAACTATCAACTCTGATGGCTTAATTATGGTTTCTGATGGTTTTCTTCTATGGAATCAGAGCCCCTTGCACAAAACTACCACTGTGAAATTATTAATCTCCACACTATTTCTAGTAGTGACAAGAACGCCAGAGTAGTCAGTCTTATTTTTATGCTCTCACAAAGACTAGCTCTTTTCGACCTAACTAGTTGTAAAACTTAGATTGGGTAAAAATGAAAATGATTTAGCCTTACATTCATTTTTTTAAAATAACGCTTTATGCAGACATGGTGTTGAGAGAATGCCCATCAGTTGTATTTTGCACCAGCAGTGAAAGAAAATCAACCAACCAACATAATCCCATATTGTCTCCAGGATGGAAATGAATGTAACTACATATCTAATGTTAGTATTCATAACTGGCATAGATGTAGGTATTTTGTCCTTGGAGTCTACTGAAATACAAACTAAAACCCAAGGAAATATTCAGTTTGTGTGTTTACTAACACAACATTTTTATTTTCCTTTAGTTTCAGCAAACATAAATTGATAGACAGTCCGTTCACTTTTATAACTTTGTAAAGAAACATTTTAAACAGTTTCTAATCTGCCCTTTTCGAGCACCTATACAAAATGGGTGAAAATTAAAAGAGTACAATTTCCCTTCCAATAAGTGTATAAAGTAAAATAAAATTATTTTGAAGAAGAGTAACCCAAAATATTGCCATTAGAGCCAGAGGAACTACTACTAGGTACACTGTCCAAATTCATGGGAACTTTCACTTTTTTCAGAGCAGTATTTCAAAATGTTTCTCTCAATTAGAAATAAGCAATATTTAGGGTTGCCATAAAATAAATAATAAAAATAATCCTGACCTCCTCTTTTGACCATGGCCTTTGGTGCTAGGTGTAATATGTCAATCAATTTCCACCTGCAATGCCACTGAATTAGTTGTATTGTAGTTGCAGCCTCCTTTAAAATAGTGCTGACAATTATTGATGCTGAAAGAGAATCAGATTCTCTTTCAGATTTGATCTGCACCAATAAATGCCTTTTTGAGAAAGTTGATTTTGTAAAGTCTAAGGGCAGTTGTAAAACTGTAGGATTGTTGGTAAGGTTTGTATTTATAGCTAAAGTAAGAATAAAACCAACTATATGTTGGCTCTTTTTCTGAGCCCCTTTGTAAGTGAATTAATTCACTAAATATATGGCCGTTAGGAAAAACAGAAATGTATATACAAACACAGAGTTGGTGGGCATGTTCTTTTAGTTTGTCCCTTAATGAGGGACAGTTTCATTAAAAATGGCAGGAGTGCAGCAGCCACAATCCAGAACAAATTTATTTCATTGGAAATACTGAAACCAAGCTGAATTTGGATTTTAAAGTGCAATAGTATAATGCAGGGGTGTCAAACTCGCAACGACACATCGTCAACGTGACATAACACAACTTTCCCACCCCCTTTGCTAAACCGGGGATGGGAGTGGCCAGCGTATGACACATTCGGCCCACGAGCCACGAGTTTGACACCCCTGGATGACAGAGAACATTTGCAATTCAATGTCGACATAATCCTGACCTTATGAATACATCAATCAAATGGATGTATTTTTTTTTAATAAAAGGAAAATATTTAAAAGGCTACCTTGCTATTTTGGATCCCTTTTCTTGACATTGAATTACTTGGTCCTTTGGGCCATAATTCTGACAAAATTTCAGGATAATGCTCTCTGTGGGTTTTTTCTGCCTCTTTCTAATCGAAAGATCTGTCATATCTACATCTTCTACACTTCTCTCAGAGCTGAGAATTCCAGTGCAGAACGAAGTGTTACACACCCTCTAAATCTAATCTAATCCCCCTCCTTGATCAGGAAGTATATTCTGACAAAATCAAGTCACCCCGTTCTATGTGCACTGTTTTGCCTTTTTCAATTGCTTTGCAGCCTTTGCCTCTTGGCAGTGTCACACTGAAGTGTTTTTCCCCCTAGAATGACGTGAACAGTTGAGGCTCGACTAAGGAAAAAAAGGCAGTGAAGGAGACTGTACATAGACATGGCAAAATATTAAATATAGCAATATAGTTGTGTGTTCAGGTGGGCAGCTCCATTTATAATATGTGAATGAACCTGTGAAGCTGCAATGAAGAGAAGAACAGAGGATCTTCTTAATGGACCCACCTAGCGTGTAGACAGTAATTTGTACACTGTATAGTTTTGTTAAGATTTTTTTTAAAGCACCCTCGTTTGTAAAGCTAATTTTAGCAATTATAATGGAAATGTATGTCATTTCCACTTCTAACGTAAACAAGAATCTTCCTTGTTTGGAAACTGGACTTGGGTTAAAACTCTCCAGTTTCTTAATTTATGTATTAAAACAAACAAAAAAAATCTGTCCGTGTTATGAGATATTTCACTATGCTTGAAAAGCATAGGTGTACTGATCCTTTTAAAAGAAATTGTAAATGGAGAAAAGTTATATTTTATGAAGGTTATTTTGTTGTATTTAGTATTGGAAAGTTGGGTTTTGGGAGCATTTCAGAATGTTGGAAGCACCACTGTCTTTTTTTATTAGTATATATGGCCTTTAGCAAAAAATGTTGTGATTGTTACATGATGGTATTTAAGAGCAGGTTCACAGAGCATCCAGGAGAGAATTTCAGTGAAAGAAAAATGAAAACAGTACTTATGTCTCATATAGCAGTGTCCTCAGGGAGCAAAAATTTGGATTTGCAATTAGGAGCTTCGTAAGGACTTACTGAATGAGATTGCACAAGGATATACCAAGCTTTGTCAACAGTGCGTGTCCTGTATCTAAGTCATTCTAAATTTTGTATACTATGTGAGATTGAAGTCTGAATCCCACATTTGATGTACAGTATTCACCCTTGAGAAAAGGAAGAAAAAAAAAATGTCTACACCCGTGCTGGCATTAATGCCTCCAGCATGACATTGATTCTAGTTTACATGTTCCTGCCAAGGTCTTTTGTTAACATTTGCCAGCTGCATGCTTCCTAGGCTTTTATTTTTTTTATTGGGTTTCTATAAGAGATGCTAAACGAAAAACAATGCAGGCGAATCATGTTGAACAGAAAAAGCTCAAAATTGAATGTCCTACTCCATGCGGAAGGAGCTGAAACCTGCCTCCTTCATATTTGCACTTTCTGAGAGTTCCCCTGTTTTTTTCTATCTCCTCAAAATGTTGTGGGTGTGTTGGAGCCCCACAGTCAGAGGATAACACGGACCACTGGGTTTGCCCTTTGACCCAGCACAATGACCCTTGCATCAGCCAAACCTATTGCCATGACAACTCTTGTACTGTTTCCATGCCACAGCTCTATTGGTCACATTTGTTAATAGCAAAGGGGACAAAGCAGGAGACGGTCAATTTATACATTTTTGTTGCAATTTTTTTCCCTCAATGGTTGTAAGTAGTTTTTTTATATATATATAATAAAAGGGTTCACTAGTTATTACTCCTTAGGATTATCTGTGTGTTGCAATTAAAATGTATGTTGACTTTGTGAAAGGGGCTTCAGTGGCACTCGCCACCCCCCGTGCTCATTCAGGCCTCCGTTGCGTTTAGTGCTCAAAATCTTTCCGGGAAGACCCGAAACAAACGCGGCAAGCAAAAAGCAACGGACAACAGCGAGAGCCAGTGCCACTGAATCCAGTCTTTGTATTACTGTATTTTTGACAGAATGGTTTTGAAAACTGTGCTACAGGGACTGATGTGGCAAAATATGTATCTATATGCAGAAGGACTTTTTTAAAAATAAAAAAAGAAGTATGGCTTATTATGCATTCTTCATAGAGGGCATTGAAGTTGCATGGACTCGTGAGAAGTTGATGCAAAATGAGAGAGAGAAAGAGACAAAAAAAAAAACCAGCAAAAAATGTTTACCAAAAAGAAAAAAAAGTGAGAGAAATTTAAAAAAAAATGACCAGTGCCTGTTCAGTTTCACAGTCTCTGTTGAGTTCAGTTGTAAATATGTTTCAGATAACATTTACTTCAAAAAAAAATTAAAAATAGAAAACTACAACATTGTAGAATGTGAGGGGTGACACCTTCCCAGGCTTAGACTTCTCAAGAGCTACATTAGATTATGTCTTCATCAAGCTGTTAATTTGTGCTTATATCATATAGGACCTTAGTGAACTGGGAAGAAGCACCCCAATCTCAATGATAATTCTCTAAGAACAATTTTTTGTAGGGCTGTGTGTTTCTTTAGATACATTTAGTGCAACTGTAGGTGACAAGTAGTCAGTTATTGCTTGCTAGCTACACACCAGGGTTGATCCATTTTAAAACTTCTGGCATGGTCTACCCTGCTCCACTTCTCCCCAGAGCCAGAGGTCCCCAATATGTTAGATGTACTTCCTTTGGCTTTGTTTTTAAACGCATGCAGAATTTTGGTGTAATGATAAATTTACCCATAGGATGCATATATACTCTGCAGTTTTCACTTTTACAAAATCGGGACCTCTGGTCCCCAGGTTCTTTTGGGGCCAGAAGGTTTGTAAGAAGAGGTTCTGGGGAGAAGACCTCTGCTTATTTGCAGGAGAGACATGTTCTTTGGAGTACTTTTCATTAGGTTACAAAGCTCAGCTGCCACAAGTTTTAAACTGGTGTAAATCAAGCTTGAGTTAATGTGATTTACTGTTATATCCAGCCTATACTGCTAGCAGCTGCTCATACTGCAGTCAATTACTGGAAGCAGATATATTTCCTATGCAAAACTGTTTAAACAATAAAATGAGCTATGCTACAGCCCTCTGGTCACTTGTGTTTTCTTTTCTCTCCCTCTTAAGAGTAATAGGTTAGTAATATTTTGGAAAAGTTCTCGAGTTGCTGGTTTCTGAGAGCATGCAGTGAGTCTTTTCAGCTTTCTGTTTCTTCTGCTTGAGGTTTAAATGAGCTCTGTATGTTCATGTATCTTGGCTTTTAATACACAGTTTAAGTTGGAGAATTAAAATAGAACATTCCTAAAATGAAGCAGATCTTTCATTTTTATCCTTATTTGATGACAAATAAAAACTGCTAATGTTTACCCCTAAACATTGTGTTACTGGAAATTTGACCTGATCTGAGGATCTTTCAGTTGGAGTATTTATCATTTGCCTATCTCTTTTTTGTTCTATAATTCCTGGTAGGTTTTAAAAATTACTCAACCTGCAACCAGAGCTGCAATAATTCAACGTGTGGTAGTCTGCTGCAAGCTGTGGATACATACAGTAGAACTTCTGGTCATGAATGCTTCTGACCACAACCAAATCTGGTTCCGACCAAAAAATTCATAAAATTTTGAATCTGGTCACGAACACATACTTGGTGGCAATCAAACATGACCCCGACCCAGAAATTCCTGAAGATGAAACATTAGAAGACGAAGAAATCCCCAAGGTTATGGAACGAATTATGGTCACGATCAGAGGTTCTATGGTACCTGATTATGGATCTCTGCCTTCATTTTGACTAATAGATCCGTTCTTTGGGGGGGGATAGGATGGCCACTAGATTACAATAATCAAATGTAGAAATTCCTGCGTTTTGTCATTATGTAGTAGTCATTTGGATTTTTGCAATATAGATTTTGTAGTCCTACTTTCATCCTCAGTCAGTATACAGGCAACGTTTAGATTTTCAAACTTTAAAAAAAGGACCTGGGACCCAGTGAAACCTAATCGGATAGACAGAAATAACAGGAAACCCGCACTCCGACATAGAGCCCCACACCTGTGCTATCTGGTTTTTATAGCTGGTTACCAACTTGATTACAATCAAAAGCTGAGAGGCCAATGAGAAGCCAATGTAGCTTGTGAAATAGTTGTATAACATTGGCAGATGATAATCATTAAAAATCAAGTTGAAGTCCATGCTGTCCCACCATTTCTGATGAAGTATTCACCCTGGATAATCTGCAAAGATATGTTAGGAACGATTAACTTTAGCATACGTTCAGAAATGACAACCCATACCATCAGTGTTTCAGCTGTTGAAATGGTGATCTAGAAAAGCGTCCCAAGCTTTTTGGTCTATACTTTTTTTTTTAATTCACTGTTCATTTGTTGTATTGTTGAATCATAGTTTGAGCAAGTGGAACAAAACTCGGTGTTATCCAGACTGTAGAAAATTTACATGGTGGGTGGGGGTATTTTCTTTTTCTGCCTACCCACAAAACACACTTCAAGAGGTTAGGGACTTATTTTGAGAAAACTGAGCAAAGCAGAAAAAAATAAGACAAAAGATTTTCTTACATCTTGCTTGGGAGGGGGGGGGGGGGGAGGGAGAATGATAAATGTCTTATCAGCATTAAGTTCTCTATTAATGACATTGCACCTTAGGTATTGCCATCATCTCTAATCCAATGTGTGTATAAAATAAAATTAAACTAATTTTTCAACCTTTATGAGTCACTTAACTTATGAACTAATGAATTGACAATATGATAGCCTGCTCTTATTAATAACCTGCTAAGAAACTTATTAAAGTTTAATAATATATTGAAGCTCCTTTGGTAGTTAGATGTAGAAAAGTAAACATTATGCCTTGGTTAGGTTATGTTTTTGTTGTTACCAATTATCTCACATTTCCATTAATTGAAAGATCTATATTGTCACTTCAGTAGGATGCAATTTATCCACATGTACAACTTGATTTACTAATTGTTAAGTGGAAAATGGTAATCAATTAAAGTCCTTGAATTGGTTCACAGCTGCACTTAAAGACACTGCTCAAATAACGGTTCTGTTGTTCTGCGGGATTTTGGCCAGAAGGCCAAGCCTGCAGTCTTTAAACTTTGGCTTTTTCTCTGGGCTTGACGCCAATTCATATACTTTTTTGATTTTCCAGAGCACAAGGCCTCTCTTAGAGGTTTAGATTTAAAATAGTTTTCCAGATGCAGAACTGCAGGAGTTTAACCCAATGTGAGTTAGTCTGGATTATGAAAGTGGGACCTTCCTTGCTTAGTTAGCATTTATTATCATAGAGATCTATCCCCCTTTAAACATTTTCAGGGGAGCTTAAATAAATTGAAGATATTATAATATCTCCAGTATTAATTTACTCCTCTATATTTCTAATCAGGAGTCACTCCTATTATGCACTATGGAAGTTTTACACACATCACTTCATCCTTAGAAACAATGCAGAAGTTGCAAAAAACCCAAAACCGCAATCAACCTAATAAAATGAAATCATATGTCATGTAGATGTCCTTGACACGAGTAGCTGCCTTCCAAAATCTCTTGAAGGACATTTTAGCATTAGGATGAACTACAGAAATATCTTTCTTCCTCAGTAGGTCCTTAATAGATATGACAAATTGGAGATATTTATATTAAAAATCCAGAAACTGATCAATATCCATGTTTTCATACAATTTATTCGGTGGTAAAAAATGAAATCAAAATAAATGAGCAAGGCTGTTAATTGAAAGAACTCTTTTTTAAAAAAGCTCTCTTGCCAATACAGCCATTTCCCCTAGGCTTATCTGTAAAAAGGCTATATCTAAGGAATAATTAAAAGAAGCCGTGTGATCATTTTCTTTCCACTTTCATTCTTAATCATCTGGGAGTCAAATGACCCATTTGAAAGGCACTAAATCAGCATGAATTGTTTGATTGACTTCAGTTAAAAGGTTCTAAAATACTTGAATAAGTTTTCTAGAGAAACACTCAAAATAATCCAGAAGTAGACAGGATCAGATGTAGATAATATATGTAAGTTGGTCTGTGATTAACATTTAAAGCGTCATTGCTTGTAAAACTGGCATGTTGCAAGCTGGAGCCCAGCCATGTCTTCCAAAAAGGCATTCAGGAGAAGATGTTTTCCTTACTCCTCTCCCTTGTTGGATATAGTTTATTACTAATTTTGTAAAGCTGAAACCAAGAATCTCGAGAGCGGCAAACACACTTTGACACCAAGGCATTATTTTTATTGTTGCTGCTATATTATTATGATTTTCGCATAGCTAGCCAGATATTCAGATGTTGGCACTTCTGACAACCTATCAAGATTTTCCCAAGGATCTGGGATAGGCAGATTTTTTTTTTATGTACATGATTCTTCAAAATATCTAGAATATTTTAAATAATAATCCCAAATAGATTTTTTTAAAAAACCCATCACCAAGTGCTTTTCTCTTCCCCTCATTATGTATTATTAGACACTATATTTGGAAATCATATTTCGTGGAGTTCAACATAAAATAAAAATGCACTCGTGATTGGATGGGATTTGCTAAATTATCACTGTATGGGTCTGGATAACATGCACAAAAGCTTGTCCTATCCAGCATTTGTCATGAGATGTAGATGTGCGGGTATAGATAACGAAGTTTTAAAAAGAAGATAAACATTAACAAACATGAATACAAAGTAAAGGGAGCAAAAAGAAAAACCAGAGCAAAAGAACAAAATATTTTTTAAAAAACCCAGAAGCTGACTTTCTTTGCAGCAAATACATGTATGATTACAAACATACTTTTTACTCTATGGATATAAAAAAGGTCTATTTTTTTCTGGTTATAAAATGTTTTCTAATCATCAAAACCACAAATTAAAAGTTGTTTTTTTTTTCTGTTTCATACAAAAAATTCATAAGGGATTTCCAGTCAACAAGGAACATAGAAATTTTTTTCCTAATCAAGGAAGTCATTTTAACCATCTCTACTAATTCCATCCAGTTACACCAACAATTCCTCCATTGTGGGTAGTGCCAAATCCTTAAAGTTTTGTGCATATCATATTGCTACAGTTTTATTTATGTATAACATTTTGGATCTTTCTGATAATTGTACAAATGAAGCATATTGCCAAGTCTGTCCTTCTATTAGCTGATTATGTCTTGATTTTATTTTACATTCCCCTTGAAAGAATTCTGATACATTACAATTAGCTTTCTCAGCTATAAAACGCTGCTTCTGTTGAAAGCCACAAAAAGTGTT